TTCCTTTTAGGACTGCTATCTGGACAATGCAAAACTATCCCTGGCAGCCTAAAAACTCTTCATGTTATTAAAAAAATTAAAGGCATGATTGTGGTCAGCTCTACACAGGTATGCAAAATGAAACAAGAAACGTTTTGTTCCTCTTGAGTATCTACAGCAATGTCAGAAACATTTCTGTTCTTAGATTATGAACCACAAGAATTACAGGAGTTTAGAATTGCTGCTATTTAAATATACTTTCTGTGCCCTAAGAAAAACTGGCAGCACTGGCCTGCACATTGGATGCATCTCACAGATAAATGAAAGTGTCCCTTACCCATAAGGGCACATGAATGAGGAAACAATTGGCTGAAGCACTGTGAAATAAATCTTATGCATATACAATAAACATAAACCAATTCTGCAAAATTCTCCCCTTGAAAGACTCGAAAAATTCACTGTGTAACAATGCCAATGCCTCCCATATGGGCTTCAATAGTATTGCTAGAGAAATGCTGCATACTAATACTGGTGTTAATGCTAATAGCAGCCATATCACACTGCTTAGCAATACACCTACTTAATTAGTTAAAAGTACAGTAGTACTACAAAAATACAAGTGTCTGTTAAGAGAGAGTTCATTCACTGTCTCACAATATTAACATATACAAACTCACTTAAGACCCAGACAAATATAAAAAAATGTACCATCTGTTTTCACTCTCATCAGTGCAACCTGCAAGTCAAGGTGTATTTTTTGGGAAGTTTAAAACAATTGCATCTCACAGACCAGATTCTGTCCCTTTAGAGATACACACCTCAACTTCCCCCTGAAACCTTCCTTTCTATGGCCTGTCTGGTATGCCTTTTTACTTGACCTACTAATACATCAGAAGGCAAAGTAATCTCCCACCTCAGCAGCAAAACACTCTATTTGCTGCAATATTTAGAGAGTCAGCCTTTGGATAAACAACTATTTAGTACCTGGGCAAATCAAACTAACCCTCTTGAGCTATAGAGAAATGTAGCACTAGAGAACACTTCCAGTGTAAAGGAAAAACAAAGGGCATTTAAAAAAATGTTTCACCTTCTCAATCCTGATACAAAGTGTAACCTAGAATCCAACCTTCTGGTCCTTATTATTCTATGTAGGTGCACAGGAAAAGGAATAGTTCTGCTCATAATGTACAGTTAACAAAGGCGTTCTTAAGCCGACATCATGATATTTAAGATCAAGAGAAGGAAACAACTGATTGAAATGGAAGGGGAGCTTGGTTCAAAAAGATAAGTAAAAATAAAGTACACTATATCTCTTAAGTTTTGTGGGTTTGTAATCTATGGAGACCTTATTCCTTAGAGAGTTTATGAAGAAACAAAAAGAGGAAGCAGCCTACCAAGGAAGGATAAAAAAAAAAAAATCACCAAATAAGAACTAACTTCAAAAAAGCAAATTGATATCTCTACACTTGGGGGGGATGCACAAGCCTCAAAATTTGCCCTGGCTTTTAAAATTACTTATCTGACAATCTGACATTGTCCTAAAAAGCACAGTTATGACATAATGATGCAGGAATATAGGAACCAAATGCAAGAGCTCTTTTTTTATCAAAGGATTTGAGATTAGACATCCATGCAAGTTTTTCTCCTATTTTTATTACTTTGTAGCACAAAATAATTTTAAGGATTCACTAGGTTTATCTAAAATCTTCACAAAAAAAAAGGCCGCATTGTCTTAACTGCATTACACCAAAAATTAACCTCACAGTTCAAGTCTGTCTGCTTGGTATTTAACATTCACCTGCCTCCAAGAACCCAACTTGGACTGTTTTAGGATAAAACATTGAAGTCTGAGACTTAAATATATTATCTTACAGGGGGAAAAAAATGTGGGTGATACACAATATAAGGTCTTACTTAGACCAGTCTCTGGCCTGTGCATTTTTAATTAGGAAACAAGAAGTTTTCTTAGCAGACTGCAGGGTGGCTACAGGACCAGACAGGGCCATACACCAGGCACACCAAGCACAGGCAGGCTCTTGTCCAAAGACTGGTGGCTCAGTAAGGCATGGCAACGCCTCCATGGGACTTAAGAGATCAGTTTGACATACCTCCACCCCAACCAGGCTACCTGGCTTTAGCATACAGCTTGTTTAGGATACAAATCTGCCTGCATTGGTCAAGCAGACACCCCTAGAGAATGTGCAGCCTTAATACTGTTTTTCCCAGATCAGACCATACCATCTTTGAAAGCAATAGAAGGAACAGCAAAGAAAAGCTGAAGTGCTGCCTTCATTTACATGGTTGAAGATAATGATTCATTTTCTTAAAGCCTTTGCCCCACATTTCAGATGAAGGCTGTTGTAGTTGCAAACTTAAATGCTTAGCTAGGACTCGGTAATATTTTCAAATACATCAAATTACTTACTGAAAAGTCTGGTTTTAATCAGCACAAAACTATTCATAATGCTGAGCTGAAACTTTCCTACTTTCCATAAAATAGAAGTACACACAATGAGCAAAAATTGATTCCAGTGTCAAAGTCAATAAAAATGTAATTACTCCGTACAAAGCAGAGCAGCATCAGTGGGACAGATTCAGGAAACTGCTTTCAAAATACTATTGGAGTGGCTAAAAGGTATCCTAATGTTTGGTAGTATAGGCTCAAATTCCTTTGTATAGACGTGATCATTAAGACCTCTCCAGTACATTATGAGTGTAAAGAACCATAGCTATATCCTTCTCTTTCAAATAAAATGCCTTAAGTCTGGTTCATCAAGTGAAAGATAGACAACAGAATGAAAACAAGTATATCAACATTTCATTAATTTATTTAGAATTATTAAAGTGGATTTTCATGTTTATATTAATATAATTTTGTCTTTATTCATTCCAACCCCAAAAAGAACTATCTATTCTTCACATAACCTGATTCATTTTATTAGTAACAGCTGGGATAGCTAGCAGTTTCAGTAAAAGCTTGATTTATCCATTCAAATTGATTAGTGCAGCCCTTGTGATTATTTTAAGGAATTACAATTATTATATAAATAAATTCATAGAAGCATTTTGTTGTGAAAGCATATATAACTAAACGTTATAAAGGTAGGTATTACTAGCCTACAGACACAACACTGAGGCACTTCGTTGATCTAAAATATAGGTATATTCTTAGAGGTGTAAACTTCTTAGAAGAAAACTAGGAAGGTATAAAATTCTTACATCCTTTTTAAAAGACAGCATACACATGCTACATACTTAGATAATTATAGCCTCCATAATGAAGATTTTTAACAATGTCCTCAGTATTTACTGGTTTTTGACAAAAAAAGGTAATCTTGAATAGGTATTACTTATGTTCTCTCAAAACTTTCTCCTTTTACAGTTAGAAGTCTGCAAGTTAATACTGGCTTAAGCTTTTGTCTGGAAACATGGAACTATTCAGAACTACACTGGCAACATCTCACTGGAACATCCTACCACATCAGGGAAGCCAGTAGAGAATATACAGTAATACAACACATTAAAGCACAAACTATGATTTGTAGTGCCAGAAAAACACCACCAAAGTCAGCCCTGGCAGTAAAAATACAGAGTTACCAATACAACTTATATATATTGAGGATCTTCAACGGACACAATGATACTACCCATGGATTACACTTTTTCACTTGTCTAGATTACACCAGTAAAAGTTTCATGTGTAGTAAAGCTGTAAACACATATTCGGCTTCAAAAGTCCCAGTGAAGAAATTACTTATATGCACAAAACCGATCATAAACAAAAGACTTCGTGAAAAATTAAGACCTTAGAATGCAACTATTTTATTTTTCATTTAATTCAATTTATTTGTAGTAGAGTTTAATTTTTTTTTTCATACTTCTTGAAATCTAAAAGCTGAGTCACTCTAGCATTTTATCACTGATTTTTACTATGCGGTATTTAAGATCATATATAACAATTATATCTGAAATATAAATACAAAATACATGCAAGTGACTCAATAGCTTCTATTTCCTCTCAAAAATAAAAATATTTGTTCATTATGCAAAGCAAAATTAAAAACCCACCACCTTTCTCAGGGAAAAAAAAAAAAAAGAAACTTCCAGAATTTTATGCAAAATTAAACAAAATATGCATTATTTTAATCACTATTTCAGTTTTTCTGTAGTGAATGCAATTATTCCAAAATAGGCTACATACAAAGCAGTACAGAATTTGTCCTGGAAAGCAGAATTCATGACAAAAAGATCCTATTCCAAATTAGAGCTGCTGCACCTGCTGCTACTTAAAAACCAAACCAAAACAAAAAGTATAAATAGTGTCCTTAAACAACAGTGAGACTTATCTCCTGTTAAAGTACAGTTGCCTACCCCAAACTGCAAAGGGACGAACATGAATGTCTTTATAAGGATCACAAGATAACAGTGCAAGCTACGTTGAATTTATCATAGTAACAGTGAAATAGAAGCAAACAAATGGGCACATATGCAGGCTTTGAAACTACCGATTAAAATTGTCATTTCTCATCTTAATTAAGCATAATAAATCAAAGCAACTACAAAGCAGAGTCTCATATTGCTGGAATCTGCAAGAACCTGTTTTCAGAGAAATGCTCTTAAACTAGTTGAAGCTCTGGCTTGAAATTCTTACAAAAACACTTCACATGATTAACACAATATTTTTCATTCTGTTTTGTTCTCTGCGATCTTATGAATTCTTTCCAATTATTAAAGTAAAAAACGTTCAATAGGATCCATCTTTTCTACTGTAATACTTTGCATTGGCAATTATGAAGTGAAAATAACAGCAGAAGCAAGTGATTTGCAGATCTTACTTTTCAAATTCTTAATCTAAACTTTTAATAATTTGATATTTTTAAGACAAGCCAAACTTAAAAGTTTCCTCCTTTTAAGGTTACCTACCAAATACATTACTTTGCAACTAGCCTCTAGACATATATATGCTAAGAACAAGAAAGCTACAAGAAATAAAATAAACACAATACTTATAATGACCATACCTAGTAATAAGAACCGCATTATCATGGTGGGCAATCCCATTTTCTGGAATGGTGTTTCCATCACTTTGGTGGGAGAGAATGGATTTCTGCCACTTACAGAAGCTATCGAGGGACTTGTCTGCATGGTGGTTTATCTCCAAGTTTGGCTGCAATACAACATGCATACCAGAAATGTTCCAAACAAATTACTAAGGTCAGTTGTTAAGCCTTTTGAAAACTAAAATGGGACTATAATTAGAAGCAGTGGTTTCTAGGAATAAAATCTTCTTGCCAAATTTTATTTCTGTAAAATCTGACCCCAAGTTCAGCTGTGTATTACTGAACCATCATTCTTTCTGCTCCAACTTTAATAATAATTTTGTCAATACAGAAAAAAAAAAAATCAAAATATAGATCTAAAAATAAAACTGACATCCCCGAAGGTGTAATAATAGTCACCTGAAGTAAGAATACATATCTTTGAGATGATACGCGAGGAATATTCCTTTGAACTGCTTCATCTTGATTAAAGAAGTGAAAAATTACATGATAGGTTTTGTACTCAGAGGCATCCACTTCAAGCTATAATTAAATAACTCTATATTATACAATCATGTAATTTTTATTTCACAGGTATAAAGCTTAGCACAACAGCTCTTACCTGATCTTCAGTGAGGACAATCAAACGTGTCACTATAATATTCACAACGTTTCCTAGACTGGAATCACGATAAAGTTTGGCAACCTGACCTCCAGAAAATAAGAAAAGGCACAAAGTCAGACAAGAAACACTACTTGCTTCCTAAATGGTTAAAAATTAACCCAGTTTCCTCATGTAATTCCATAATGATTATCCATATCATTGACACCTAAATACAAGTTATATTTTTTGACCAAAAAAATGACCATTCAGTAAAAAAACACCTTTTGAGTCAAACTTTTCAATTTTAACTTTTTATACCTTGTTTCATCATTTACCCAGCACAATGAGCATTTAGAGTGTCAACGTAAGCAGAATAGAACTAATCTGAATGTAATTACTTGAATTCAAAATTGAAGACAACAATTTAAAAGTGATCACAGCATGCTTCTTGACAGAAAAAGTACTGCATTCTTCCCAAAACGCTAAGATTTTCAGTATTTAAACTACTCATTCCTGCAAGCTAGTAGACATATTAAAGCATTATTCATGGCAATAAATAAGCACTTGGCAGGTCCATTATCATTTCAGTACACACTTATTGATACGAACACAGAGAAGGATGAAACTTACAATATTCATTACACTCAAAATGTAGTGTTCAATGTCTTTGCGACCATGGTATCCCACCATCATTTTGTCTGCTACTACCAGCGTTTCCACAAACCGTTCAAGGCTTACAGATCTCTTCTGTCGGCTACGACTACTTTGTGTGTCATTGACTGGAAGTGAAGCTGGAAAAGCAGATGCATCACTCATCCACCAAGGTTTGCCGCTTCTTGTGAGGTCTTCTAGGAACCAAAACAATTAAATACTTGAGAGGGAGTCACTAGTAAAACTCATTCAAATGCAGCTGGTTTATGTTGAGATTGCCGTCTTCAAGTTTCTAACAACGAAGTCTTTCTTGAGGCGAAGAAAAATTAAATTTATTTATTTTCTAAATTATTTTTAAATAACTTGTATAATGGAAAGTCAGCTTTGGGCTCCAATAATCTCAATTCTCCTTAAATTTGAATTAGGACGATAATCTTCTCTTAATAAATCTGATTTTGCACATTTATGTTACTATTAAAGATTAGTTATAATTAACCACAAGAACACATCAGAATTTTAAGAATAAGAACATGACAGCTGTAACATCTGGGAAAAAAAAATACTAGAAACCAAAAATTCAAAATTAATGTAAAAGTTATCAAAATTTACTAAGGAATTAAACATGCTCTTAAAACACTAAAAAGCTTTTTCCCTCCTGCAAAAGTCTGTAATTTTTAGGCAATTAGGTTTACAGGCATAAAATGAATCCATTTTCTCTTTAGAAAGTTAACATATTGCATTTTATCTACCCTGTGATTTAACTGTAATAGAACGTTTTAAATGGTCTGACATGGGATAATTGCTATAGTTATTTCAACACAAATTTCAATTCAAATATGTTGATCCTTTTTTTCCTTTCAGGCAAAAATACAGGAAAATATTTCACGTGTGCAAGAGATAAATTATTAAAAATCCAAAGAGCTGCAATTATTGGCAAAACAAACATTACAAGACGGCATTCAATTCTAATTCCTGTCCTCAGGCCAAAATCAAATCCATCCTTCTCTACAAAGGAAGGAAAGGTTGGATTCAATTCTTGGGCTTTTTTAGTGTGTATCACATATCCCTTTTCCACAAGGGCCAACACAGATCTCGAGCTGAAGTTTATCAAAGTGTATTGTTAGTCTGGTTTTATCTAATTAGGATTTCAAAATATCAAAGTTATTCTTGGTATTTATAGATGAGCACAAGAACGTTAACAGATACATTTATAGCTGTCTGAACAGGACTGCTCAAGTGAACAATTTCTGAGATGCATCATTACTTCTACTAAAACAAGGTCAGCTAAGGATGTAGAGATAGAACCATTAAAAAAAAATGCTTTAGGCAAGTCAGCTAAGCACACTGATTTCAAAGAGAAAAACTACACCACAAAGAATGTATGTAGGTCAAAACCAGGAATACAAACCTTCAGCAGTCCCACTGTTGCAGTGTTTCACAATTTTTGAGGCTACAGTATTGGCTCTAAAAGGCGCATATTTTAGAAAAGTCAAAAAAATTTAAATAAACCTGGTAGTTATAAAAACACCAATAACAAAATTGTCCTCATTCTGCAATGGGTATAATCCATTCTTAAAAAGCCCTGTACAGGTATTAAAGCCTGGTTTGGATTCTATAACTACTAAGCTTTCTCCTATTTTTCACCTCTATTGGAGAAAATTCAAAGTTGCTTGAATTGTTCAAAGATTTTAATCTCACTTAAACAGTGTCTTAGGAATGTCTGGAATTTTCTCTGACAGCTACTGTACTAAATTTTCTAAAAATACATTCTTTTTCAAATAACAAATGCTGATGGTTTGTGATGCTCTTGGTGTGCTAGAAAGGCAGTACTGTTTCCACATTAATTCATTAATTCACACAAATTGCAAATTATACTAAGCATTTAAAAACTTCTGCTTTAAAGCATAAAACTTTCAGAGGAAAAAAAGATTATTTTTGAATCATTTTCATACTATCTTTCAAACAAAGGACTCAGAAGACTCCACAAGAACAACCATTTCTCATTTTCTTATCAGATGAGAAATTTAGGCTTCAGCTGATCTCAAAGTAATGAGAAAGCTGAAAAAAATCCTAGCACTCCAGGATGTATCAATGCTTATGCTGCTTTTCTTTAAGAAAAAAAATTAAATAATGGTGACTAAATTATTTAAATGCTAAAATATATCAGTTAATACAGATCTACAATTTATTTAACGAAAATGTTATGTGGCAACTTACATCATTCTTTCACCATATTCATAAATTAAAAAGAAAAAATTAAATTCCATTAACATTGAACATAGTTATCAGGGAGTAAAAAAAGGGCAAAAATAAAAAGGAAAAATAAAGAAAAAAAAACCACAGAAAAATACTATAATTGACCCCAAAATAATCATTGCAGAAGTGCGAAATTGATATTGGGTGGTGGTCAAGGTAGAGAGAAAGAAGAAAAGTATCTCAAAATGCAATAGCAAACTTCTTATGTTAGATGATGATATTTTGAAGCGAAACATTATGCTTTTTTTTCTAAATATTTTAGCACCATTATTTCATTTCATGCATCTAGCATCTTCTATTCTACTTTAAAATACACCAACTGTAAAGTCTGACACGACTGGAATCACTACATAAATCAAAAAATAGTAGCTATTCAGAAATAATCTGCCACTCTGCAGCTTTCGAACGTCAGTTTTTTGTTGTTTCTAAATCCTACTCAAATACAGCATTTTGCAAGATAATTCAATAGTCTCAAACTTCATTGAAACAATTGGAATTTTGCAGTGGAAACTTCTTATCAAGGCCTTAGTGATTTCAGCTGCATTTAATAAAACATAATTAATTGGTGACATACATGAGACACATATTCAACGTTTTATATTTTGGATGTTTTAGGTTAAAATGCTTAAAATTGAATTTAAATTAGGGAAATCTGTCCTGTGCTCTCATCTGATTCTCCAGGCCTCTCCAATTCTCCTCTTGTATTAGCTACCATAATTCTACCATTGATGAAGCAGCCCATCACTTAATCATCTCAGTCAATTCTGATCACGCTTTCACCAAATTCCTCTTTCTATTCTATTATTGCAATTTTTCTCAGAAAGGTCAGAAACTACACTCCCCTTGTCTCTGTCAACACTTTAAAATCCTGACCATTCCCCTGATGGAGAACAGGTACAAAATAAATTAGGTTATAGTAGAGGAAACTTGACAAACATTGAATAGTGGCACAGTTACTCAAGCAGATTCCTCTCTCATATAATATTAGGAAAACTGTTCTGAAGGTAAAGTTAAAATCAGTCTCCAGACAAAATAAATCATATACTGCCAAAAGGTAGTTATAGCTTTGTTACAATTGCATTTTAAAACACAAAATTGGACTGTTCAAAACTTAAAAAAACAGTCAAATTTCCTAAACATCACTGAATACCTAGCTTTAATCCTTGGGTGTGAAAGCTGCAAAACTGAAAGTTAATATTTAACTTTACATTTTAGCTGATTTTTTTCAAGTATTTCAGGATGTTTTGTATGCTATTTCCCTTTAAGATGAGGCTGCAACAGTGCTCAGAAAATTAGTTTAAAAGGCTTAAGTACCCATGAGGGTAAAACAGAATGTCATCTGGAAAACCAAGACCTGGCAGTCTTGGCAGAGTAAATTTTTTTAGACATTTTAATGGAGTGGAAATAGTATACAGAAAAATAGGAAAAGGAGAAACTGAGACGAATGAGCATCATAATAATCTCAGGCTTGTAAAAAGCAGTGCTTTAGTACTTCAATAATTAAGAATTTTGGGCTATGAAAATTCAGTGAGTGCACAGGGGCTTCCAAAACAAAGGCATCATTAATTATACAAAGTAACAAATGCTAAATATTATACCATGTTTTACAAAAAATGCATGCAAGATGTACAGCTCTAATGAACCTGCGACAGATACCACCAGAATAACAGAACACAATCTGACAAAAGCAGCTGCCTCTGCTTCATGGCTTTGAGGAGAATGGCTTCTAAGCATTACTCTAGAAGACTAGATCCAAGAGAGGCCAATATCCTTTCTTTTTTAAGGATATAATAATGGTAAAAATTGCATGTTCCTACATTTCAAAACCTTCCACTTATTTCAAGAGGCTTAAGTGACAACTCTCCCAGCAAAATGAACATGTACTAGTTGCCTTATTTTACAAACAGTTAGCAGGCAGTAACATTTAAGGGACTTGTTTTGCAATATTAGAAGCACGTCTATTGAATAATGCTCTCAAACTAAAACAGAAGTTACATACATGAAGTCTTTTTTCATAATAATTCCATAAACACAATTAACTGAAACACTCAAGAAAAAGCTATCTCCCAAGAATGGGAACTTGCAGACAATTTGTGCTATAAGCTTGACAGCTGGTGCCACTAAACATTATAAACTCTAGAAGAAGCTAAAATAAATTACATCAATGAACAGTGATACTATTTTATTTTATGATTATTGTCAGTCTGCCCCATGCACTGAATACAATTGCCTAGGACTGAACTTTTAAGAATAAGCTATGACTCAAATAGCAACAATTAACAAGGTTAGAACATTTTTCTAGCATGTTAAAAAATTACTTTTGTGCTCTGAAAGAAATTGTCAGATTTACTCCACACTGTCTTCAAGAAGCTAGTTTTCAGTTTAATCAAGGCTTATGTCAGAGTGCTTGGAATGTGTATCTGCAGAAGTTAAAACTACTTTACAAAGAAAATATCTCTCCATCAAAATTATATAACCCTGCCCATAAGGCACATGTAAATCACATATTTTACTATAATGGAATAAAGTCAACCAACTTGACCAAAAACCAGTACCAAAATACTATGAACCTCTGTAAGCAAGAAAGATGTGGACTCAGCTACAAATGTATTGATAATCATAATGCTGACATATTTATTGCATATCAAGTTTCTTCAAATGAGATGGAACATATACTAAACATTGAGTTGTAATATTCAATCATGCTTTCCTGTTGGGATATGAAGTACATTTATACACATTTTGAGGAAGCCTGTTCTCATTTCTACCACTGTACAAAACATAGGCATAAAACAAGACTTACTCCTGCTGTCTTAGTTTTTGAAATACACTATATTCTCAATCTGAATCTGAAAAAAAAAAGAAAAATCAAAACTACTTTTCAACAAGACATTACCTCACCCAGAAGGAGAATTCTCATATGTCTTCTCCACTATGTCTTAAATGTGAAACAAGCAAGATCTTAAAATACATCTCAAGTTATCATTTTTTAAGAGGAATGACACTCATTCTTGTTTACCTGAGACTCCACAGTGACTGTGATCATAGAGGTGTTGCTGGTGCATGGTAGATTTTTTGTATATAACATGAGGATGACCATTCTTGTAACTATAGTTACTAGAATCTTCTGTTATATTTCTTAAAGGCTCAATAAAATACTCATCCTCTTCTGTAGCAATGACTCCATGCTTAAAGAAGCAAATAAGAAAACAAAAACTTACAATAGACAATATGGAACTACTATCACAAAGTTTAACTTTAAAATACATTCTCTCTGAAGAAATCCACATCTAGAAGCTAACACACAAAACAGTGCATGAGCCAGCCCTCCCCTGCTGATTTCAGTATGAGCAGGGTAGGTGCCTATAAACAATACAGTGAGAAAAAATAAAACTATCATTGTCCTATTTCTAAGGTACTTTCACTTTCTTCTTGGTAGATACAGTTTAAAAAGTAAGAGGTATTATCAGAATATTACAAATAAACTCTTCAGGGATGTTCTGAAACTACATGATTCATATCCATTAAAAATTACACCAAGCCAAAATGGCCATGCTCTAATGGCAAATCCAATATTCCCCTGTGATGCCACACTGCTAGATGCTTAAAGCCAAATACTTCATCAAAGACAAACACCAGGAAGGATTAATTTTAGAACACATATTCAAAGAAACCACTTTTATTTTACATCCAAACAGAATCACAAATCTGAACTAGTTAATAGAAATCAAATTATTTATATTAACTTGCTACACTGTCTACAAAGCATTTATTCCATAAAAACTCTGGCCACAAATATAGCAAATAAGAGTTATTTCAGACCTCATTCTCCATAACAAATGAATATATTTTCCCCTCATACTGCAGTGCAGAATAGTAGATATTCTATTCTCATAATTTTCACATTTGTGAACTCAGCTTCTTCCAAACAGGAAGTGGTTTATGGAAGAAAGGGGAGATTTCAGGCCAACTATGCAATTTCCTGAACCTTCAGCAATTAAAACTGAACTTTAGCAGAAAATCCAGGTTTGGATCCTTTCAGATATAGAAATATTGGGGCATAAGCCCTGACAGACTTCTACACCAGTTTGCTAAATAAAAAATTCTGATACCCACATGTAGAAAATTATGAATGTATAAACTTTCTACACAGGGAAGAGTTATTCATCAGACAGAAGCCAGGAAGCAGGAACTTCTACATTCATATCCTGACTTGATAAATCAGAAATTTCTACCACACCTTTTATCAGTAAAACAAATACTACACATGAATCTTTTTTTAAGACTTCTATGATCAGCCATAAAACCATTTGCTCCATATCTGCTCTAAAAATCAAAAAGCTGTTTTCAAAGATCAGAGCTTGTCCTTGTATCCTTGGTCAAAGCTCTCATCCAGCTACTGTTTTGTACATAAAATGCCCACTGCTCTTCACTTCTGAAACAACAATATAAAGCTTACAAAACAAAAATTCCCATGTAATACATCAGAAACAAGTGTTTTCCCAATAGAACTCCATTATAAATTGTGAAAATATACATATGAACAGACTGTAGCTTTCAATTACTCATTCCTTACATTGTGAATGCAAAAATAAGTGTTCCTCTTTAGTAGTATTTTTTGTTAGTAACTCAGTTATTAACTCACAAGGTAGTATCAGGGTCTAAATTCACCTGGAAGATGCCAGTATCAAATTCCTCTTACAATGACTTCTTGTTACTTGAAGTCTAAGATTTTACTAGAAAATAAATCATTTACTGGTATACTGCTGCTTATATAGTATTGAAAATATAAACCAAATTGTAACTGGGTTTGCCAGATGTGCAGAAAGAACCTTGACAATTTGGACTGCATCCAGTCTGAATGTCAGACATCTGGGTTCAAGCGAATCCTGAGCCATTGTAAGCTCTGGTATTATGTTCCCACAGGAAGAGAGTCCTGCAGAGTCGTTCTGGCCAACACCATCAGGCTGTCTGCTCCATGCCAAGCCTGAGGAGACAGAGGTACTGTACCATCCAATCTGTGGCACTGTCTCTGAGACAGAGAGCATCCTAATTTAAATTCCTCCAGACCATACATCCTTCCTGTCTGTACTCAAGCCCAGCCATGTTAGCAAGTCTAAGCATAATGAGATAATTATGTCAGGTACTGAAACTGGTAATTACAAATGGTGAGATTACCTCAGCGGAATTAAGTAAATTCAAACACCATAAACACTTAATTGCAGCACTAATTCTCTATACAAATTGCATATTTGCTCCTGCAAATAACTAAAGAGTATCTGAAAACAGTGGTCACACTTCCTTCAGGTACCAGCAGTGAAACAGTAAGGAGAGCATCAGTACTTTTTCCAAGGCCTAGCTGATATCTGATCTCATTTGCCTAAATGCTATGGTGTTTAAGAAAAGACATTTTAATTTAATAAGACATTTAGTTAAGGAACTGCACATAAATTTTAACATCGATCTACAAGCAGGTAGTGAAAACATATGTGTGGTCAGTCGCTGCAGTCAGGCAAGTGATTCAATAAGCACTGGAAACACACTGACCCTACATATGCCCTTTCCATAAGCTTGGCATAGGTATACCATTTTAAGCCTAACAGTATTTTTGCTTGCAAACAAAATTGTTCTTCCAGTGCTAAATTGATGCTAATTGATGATAATTGAATCACAGTGAATCAACAGGGAAATCTCTGATTTTTTAAGAAGCACTCTAAATTCTGCAACTAAAAAGTACCTTGGTGATGGCCAGCATATATTCTAAGTTTCAAAAATGCATGCTGCTAGAGATACTTGCATTGTTTATGTATTCAGCAATACATAGGGGTAGTACATTATTATATCCAAACCAACATTCTAAACACTAGCTTTGATTTATAATCCACTATTTGAGGAAAAAAAACCCTTCAGTTGGAAAAGCAGTTTGAAATAATGCTCACTTAAAGCATTAAAATGAATTAATTTTTATTTTCTTTTTAAGTATTGCTATTATATTTTAACAGTTCATAAATTAAACTTCTGCTCGAAAGCATCAGAAATATCATTAAGACATAAGAATGACCAGAAAAGGTTTTGACATAATACCATGGATATAAGAAACAAGCTGAATGCACCAAGTATGTTACTACAAGGAACATTCCCAAGATTATTATCTAAAACAGATTGTTTGAGGTCCTGTGTTATCCAATCCCACTACAGACTGCCAACTCATGCTAACATATACAAGGTCTGGTTCCAGCAGTTTGACATGCTCAGACAAATCTGTGAGTCCACATGGAGTTCCCCTGAATTTGTGAAAAAGAATCTTTTTCTGTCAGGCTGTCCAGCCAGGGCCTTAACCTCCTTCAGATGGGGGACATCCATCAGCTGCAAAAGCAAATGGAATTATGGGGGACAAGTAAGCACATGCCTTTTCCACACAGCACTATAGTTTGACAATTTTTCCACGCCTTGAATCTTTTTAGGCCTTATGCTTTATCAATTTTTAATATAAAGTACTAGTAATGGAAACTTCTGAAAACAAGTCAGTGTTGTTCAGTACGTCAACAGCTGGCTATTCACCATGGTTTTATGACCGAGGAAAAAGACTGCATTATCTTACTGTGCTCTCAAAGATAAAACAGTAGAGATCTGGCCTGAGACAGCACATCATGGAATCTAATAACTTAAAACCTTAAAACTAAGATAGGGACAGCTTGTATTTAATTTTCTGAATACTAATCTCATACTGCAAAAACATATTAGCATCAAAGATAGTCCCAAGGACACTGATATACAATAATTTCACATACAGTCAAAAATGCAAAAGCATATGTAAATTATGATCTATAAAAGTAGATGCATTCTTTAGAGTAAAATTGGCTTTGAAATGAGCTAACACTTAAGAAAAATATTCGTAATTTATAAATGTATGTATTTAGGGATACATGAAGCAAACATTAAGTCTTCCAGCAAAATAATTCCCCACTGAAAAAATAAACTCATGCTCCTAAGCCAGAGTAACATACCTGTGCTTTCTTTATCATTTCTGTTTGGATGGAGATAACTGTGCTGTCCAGCACAAACATTATGCCATGCATGAACTTCACATATATGGGAATACTGCACGTTTTACATTAACCGTTTACTTGGGACCACAGTAGCCTCAAAATAGTTCTTACTACAGACCTTTTCAGCCCAAAATTACAAAATTTGCTACCATGCAAAACTTGTTTGAGCACTCCGTTAAGAGCTTTGACACCCAGTAGAGGACAAAGGTGAGTCAGAATGCAAAATTTGGGTTTTGGTTGATTCCATTACTGAAAGCTCCAGAACTTCTCTGATATCTGCTCCTCTCAGAGTCAGTCGAACCCACTACCCTGAGGTGAAGTTCTTCTCCAGCTAGTATACCATCATTTACTTTCTATCCTTCAGTATAAAATAGCTTAGAAAATGCCTCCGCCTGGCTGCCTTGTACCCAACATCCAAAGGCCCTAAAATGCTGCTCATTGTTGGTTCTTTCATGATACAGCCAAACCTGCAATCCATCCACAAGGGTAGCATCCACTACAGTAAACATGAGTTTGGAAGCCAGCAAGCCTGCAGACAAGGCCTTCAATTTCCTCACATGAATGCTCACTGGATTATAGAGCTTTCCTCACAACTTCAGACAATTCATAGCATAATCAGATGGAAACTGCTGGACTGAAACTTCAGTAAGTAGCAGTCTATAATTCTAGGGCACTTGGTAATGAGAAATATAGAGGGAGAGGCTGAAACAAGCAACTGACTGCCTGTCACTTTTATTAGAATGAAACTGAGAGAAAGCCCTCCTTACATTTATCTCAATACAAGTGTTCTTCAAAGTCATACTATATATCTTATTTAAATCATGTTCTCACATAACCACTCTGAATAACTAATAAGAATAATTCAAGATGTTCAATAAGGGGAAGAAATTTGACCTATTTGCCAAAGGACAACTGGAGTAAATATATTGCATACCTTTTGTTTGTGAGCAACATTCACTATTAAATATAACTTACTACCTGCTTCAGAGTTAAACTTACAATGACTGGCTTTAATATAGATGTTAATCAAGGACTATTAGAATATGATTGGCAGTCACAGACCAGCAATCAAACTGGAAAATACAATAAATGCCTTAAGTACGATGCATTCTGAGCTACTGCTAACTCTAACACAATATTGTCTTCAATATTCACTGCCAATTGCTTTGCTAAACATGTTCTAACCAGCAGCTGCATAACAGAACATTCATCAGTAGGAATTATCATTTGAAAATAACTTTGTGATGCATTTATCTGACTGGAGTGGTAACTCCCATACGTGCTGATCTGGAAGGCACTGCCAACGCTGGATGGCAGAAGAATTTCTGTATAGTAGAGGATGGTATCAAGTCAAGACTACTGCTGCCCCATCTGCAGGATTCATGCCTCTGAGACAGAGCCATGTGTCACCCTGCTGATGTGTCTGGAGCAACACAGGAGCCTCACATGCTTGTGACCAAATCTTCCCAAGAGATGCAGCACACACCCGATATGTGAAGTCCCAAGTAAAGAGGCATGACCATAAAGAAAGTCTTGTGTGCCCAAAGACTAAATTAAGGCTGCCTTAACACCTGAAAGGCACACATAAGAACTGACAACAACCACAGCCACTGAAGATGATGATTTAACTGGGAAGCACTCTACATCAAAGTTAACTTACAAATTTAACATACTGACACCTAGAACCACAGGCAACTTCACTCCAGCAAAATGGACAGCCTGAGGGCAAAGGGAAAACACGCTAAATGTCACCTCAGGATGTTGGGCATAGAAGAAAAAAAAAATCTGCTTCCTCATGACATCATCCATGCTTTTTAGAAGAAAAGAAGTGCTATAAGGAGCAACAGATGGGCGAAGACAATAGGAAAATACAGGTTGTTCAGTGCTTCATCCCACCTTTATTTTCCTAGCATGAAAGGAAAACAAGAGTCAGCTAGGGCAAGGGCAGGAGCTGCTGGCTCCCTTAGCCAAGGTCAAAGAGGAACTGAAACGGGATCACGATGGCACCTACTGCAGTCTCCAAGGGGACCAACTAGCCAGTGCATCATTTAGCATGCAGAAATAAGCATAAAGAGGCATGCAGGCTCTTTTAAAGAAATGAATCCTGAAAGAAGGAACTTTGTCTCCATCATATTTTTAGCTGAAAAGAACTCAAGCAAAGATGGAGTGTAGTAGCTTTGAAGTCTAAATAATTGTGATGAGAAAAAAAAAAGCTATTACATGGAAACTGCAATCAAAGTGAAAATGGTACTAAATTCAGACTTATTTGCTGTAAGTCTACATGAACCAAATAGTAATACCATACTCAATGGAACATCATTTTAGCTCCATTTTTTTTAAAGTGTCCACTTAGCACTAGAAACTCCCTTTAATATTTTTCCTCAGGAACACTCTGAAATGTTAAACTAAACTGTATCAGGCATATCACAAGTAGCTGGATGTAAAGCAACCTATCTAGGTCTGAAACAGCTTGCTTTTTTTTGAAAGTAACATCCCAAGAAGAATTATTCAATATCGCTTCCAAGGACAAAAGAGAATTTGTTCAGCAAGTCTGCATAATCTTTTTTTTTAACTTAGCAATTAGTTAGATCAGCCTATTCCTAACAAGAAGATCGACCAGCATTCTACCATAACAAAAACCAGAATGAGAAACCATAATATATATGTATATTTTTACTACAGAAAACACTGGCTCTCGATTTAATGCTTCATAGTCATGCCTTTCTATTTTAGTATTTTGTTACTCAATAGGCTGTGTTTTAACTTTTTTGCATTCATTTTCTAATTTCTTTTACTGTGCATGTACTTCTGTCACATGATCAAAAGATCACCAGTAAGAGAAGAAATGAGAATACATCAGGTAAGAACTTCTAATTCAACTTCTAAATACAAAAGTTTACAATTTGTAAACAAAGTCTTTCTGGCAAAAAAAGTTATATAATTACTTTCTGATGTTGTTACTTGCTAAAGACTTTTCACGTTTTGAATTTATAGCAATGATGATGTCTACACCAAGCAATTCCTCTTATTTACTTAGTTTTTAAACCCAAATACTCAAAGACAGTGGGTGTTGAGTCCAATCAACATATCTCTGTGGAGATTCAGTGTGCTGGAGGATACACAGTTTCCTCCTCCCTGCTCCTTGAGCTTGGAAGGGTCTTATAACTGTAAAGATCTCAGCACAGACCTAATCCTGCAACCCTAGAGCAGACATTATAAACACTAAAGAGGCTGCCTGCTAGAAGACTACAGAACTGAGTCTCAGTACTTACATTAAACTTGGAAAACTGACACCTACTTTTCCCCAGGACCTAGATCAAGTTTTAGGGGTTTTCTTCCCTATCTACTTGCTTCCCACAGGGACTCAAAAAACTGAAAGATATGCCAATTTAATTCTTCTTCTGTACTTTAAAAAGGGACAAGCACACTATTATACTATAATATGTAATATGGACTTACCAGACCATTGCAGTTGCTTAACGCCACTTTAGTTGTGCTATGTTGGTCTTGCAAATATCCTGTGTAATGACAGTGGTCTAAGAAACCATGCTTCCATTGTGGTCCATCTTTCCCCCAGTACTCTACTGTAAAATGTCTGGACACCAAATCTGTGTTGAGAGTCAGGTTTAAATGAAAGTGCTTGCCATAGGCAGAAAGTTTAAAATATAATTTAGATGCGGCCAGTTCTTGATCATAAGGGTCTGTGCTCCTCCTCCTTCTTGAGGGTTTAGGATTTTTCACAGTAAAGCTGAGGAAGGCTCCATTTTGATCAACCCTTATTGGGATTGTTAGCTGGTAGTGTTCAAGGTAAGACAGGAATTCCTCTTTGTAATCAATCACAAGGTAAGACAGTCCAGGGAGTGGGCATAGAAGAGAAGAAAATATAATAGGAAACAACAAGTAGTAGCATAAACATAGACCATTTTTGGGTAAATTTCATCACTCTCATTAGTAAAAGTCACCTTCAGGTAAATGCACGATGCAGCACTTTACAAAGTAAAATAAAACAAAACATTATTTTCTTTCTTTGTAAATCAAAAAAATGTGTTTGAGTTCCTATTAATTTGCTTATCACTGGAAATATGGAAGCTTTCTGATACCTATCTTTTCCTGTTTAGCAAAAATATGTAAATAATTTGGGCTAACTTAAGAAGGGCATATTTTTCCCAGTGATATCATTCAAAGACAAAAGCTACAAAATCCACTTGCAAGAATACAAACAGTAGTAATGAAAAGGATTATATTGTAAAAACAAGATTAGATTCTTACTTCCTAGTCTAAAAGCATGTTAATTTTATCATGGCAAGTCTCTCAAATATTATCAAGTATGTTTTACGAGATTTAATTTGCAAGGCTTTCCTACAGTTAAAAGTAGACAGAGAAAAATTAGAACAAGGAAATTTAATCTGCATGACAATTAATCATGATAAAACTACGAGCAGAGCCCAGATGAGCTCATGAATTATATAAACATGGTTTAGAAAATATTACACAAATACAATGCAAAAATACATGCTCCTTGCCAGCTATAGAGATCAGACCCCTACCTTGAGAACTGTATGAAAGCCTGTTTTTACTGTGAAATTCCGATGAAACCATGACTAGGCTCAAAATCCATGTCCACGTCTTCCAAAAAATTTCCATAATTTAGAAAAAAACAGAAAGTTCTTTTTTCTTTCTCCTTGGAGAGCTACCTGTGTGCTACAAAGTTAGCTTCACTCCAGAATCGCACCATAACAGGTACATTTATTTTATACTACTTTTAAATTAACTATAGGATGTTCCACTTTCTGGACAGGTACTTTCTTCTATAGCTGCAGTCATTTTCTCAATTCAAAGCAAGTTTTTGTAAGATTCCTTAAGATATGAGACAGATGTTAAATTGGATAGTTACTGAACTTGCTCCATTTCTTTTCCTGAAAAACAGAAGAATATGAGTCAAGGCAAATTCTATTTAAACAGATCTGTGCTGTAAAATACTAAGCACAGGGCAGTATTTTGAAATAATATTCAGTATCAATTTTATGGTCACATCCAAGGTCACAGTCTCACAAAAAGAAAAAAACAGAAAAAGAGTTACAATTAGCCTTGAAAAGCAGATCCATACAGCTTATGATGCACTTATCAATTTCATGTTATTTTCGTGAATTCTTACACCTATTTAGTGTTTCTTGTAGCTCATATATCGAGTTCAGACTTTTTCCATCTATAATCAATGCTATACACTTATTGATTTCAACTGTTAATAACACATCTCAATATATTGGTAGATAAAGGAAGAAACTGGGAAGGAATCCAGAGTACAGTTATCTGATCTTTCTGAATCATGTATTTTGTTATTACTCAGGCCAGGTTTCTGCTTATGCAGGCAGAATTCCCATTCACTTAAATGGGAATGCTGCATGCTAGGAATATTAAAGAACAAATTTCAGTATCTAAAGTTATGCATCATACCCATTCTAATATTTCAAATACTTGTTGTCATTTTTTTTTCACTTACAACACTATTGCAACAATAGCAAAAGCAGCTCTAGCTGCAGCCACGGATTAAATGGAAGATCCATGCAGTCAACTAACAATCCAGTATTATGGGACACCAAACTATGTGTTGTGTCAGCTGGTACTCATCAGTCCACTTGAACACTCACAGCACACCTGTGCACAAACTCTACTGAGGCAGACAATGGAGAAACAGAACACCTAAGAAGGGAAGCTTGTTTAAAAACCAATTTCCACAAGCATAGAGTCACTTACACATGCACCACATAAATCTGCCTTTCTAAAATTCTGGGAATGATTTACAACATTCATTCAGACAGGTAATACAGCTGCAGCAAATGGATTACTTATGAAGGTTTTATAAAGAACTGTAACATAAAATCTCAAGAAAAAAATCACCATCACCCAAATCCTATTTACCAACATAACAATGAATATCTAGATAATGTCTTAGCCAATTTGAAACCCATCTAATTACTAACGTGCAAATGAGGTGAATCTGACCTTTAAAAAATCTTTCAATACAACACCCAGGATTTAATCATGTTTGTAAAGAGACTAAAAGATACTTTGCAAACATGCTTTGTGCTTAGTTGTATTTCTTCCTGGGGAAGCACAAAGACTTTGTGATGCCATTCACATGTGGCAAAGCCTCAAATTATATTAATAAGAAAGCTCTCTGTTTGCATGGCTATGTAGAACCTTTATTTCCTAGCTCATATTTAATTACAGTTCTTAGAATTTTGCAAGTTTTCAAGATACATAATTAAACCCATACTTTCTTAGCTACATTAGTACAATAAGTAATGTGCCTTATTTCTAATCTAAAAACGTATTGTTTTAAATTCTTGTCACTGAATCTTGCTTTATCCCTGTTTGCTAGTGAGCTGCACTTTTTTCCTTGTGTGCATAGTTATAATCTGATATAAGCACCTCTGGACACTTCCTGGTAAGCAGCTCAACCTATTTGGTTTATCTCGCTCCATATAATCCAGTTTCCAGATGACTGAATACTTCTGCAGTTTTTCTCTGAACCGTTTCCAATTCATCAGCATCCCTTTTCATCTGCAGACACCAGACTGGGCACTGTAGTCCCGTAATGGCTCGTTACCACCATATATAGAGGTAATATTGCCTTACAGCTTCTACTTAGCCAAAATATCCTAACAGGGAGCTCATGTTCAGCCTGCTAAACTGCTAATAAGTTATCCTAACATTAAGATCTCCTGAAACTGCAATATCTAAGGAGCAAGATAGCTCAGAATACTGGACATAAATTAGCAGTAGCCATTGTTTAGTACTATTATTTATTATTTACCCACAAATGGCCCACATATATATATATGGTTATATATATTGGTCAACAGTGTCAAACAGTCACTCACATCTAGTGTTCTTGCAGCGGTCTCTGAAGTGGTCTCCTCCATTTCAAGCTTCACACAAGACTAATCTCCTTTCATATCAAGCTTACTGAAAGTTTCAGCAGAATTTTTTACCTCTTCTTCAAAAATATTTATCACCAGTTTGACCACAGATACAAGTTGACCATATGAAGATATACTAATGTTTCCAATCAAAGACTGGTAATGGATGTGAATGATAAAACAGTCAGGTAACTTCAAGACAAAATACTCTAAGTATGACATTTGGTAGGAACCTCAAAGTCTGGACTCTATACCCTTTTTGTTTTATTTTCACCTTCTTTGGCAGCCTATTTTCACTGTAGGTTGTTGTTAAGATGCAAAATTTGGTCAACACTAAGCTTACAATAAGAAACTGCTAGTGTGTCATGTGGTGAACTACATATTCACGCACTGGTAAACGTAGGTGTGGCTCCATGTCCTCAGCCACCACCTAAAACCACAGATCCCATCTAACTGTATGATGAACTCTGCCAGACAGGAAAGCAATAGTACAAGATGTTTTCTGATGCCAATGAAAAAACAGCTGCACAGCACTGGCATTTCTGTGAAGGCACTGATGGTAAATTTGGCAGTCCTGTCACTGGTGTCATGAGGTTCCTACCCAGCGACACTCAATGAGAAGAAAAAAACGCCCCAGTTATTGGAGCACAAGTCTTATAAAAGGCGGCTGAGGGAGCTGGGGGTGTTTAGCTTGGAGAAAATGTGACTCAGGGATGACCTTATTGTACTCTACAACTGTCTGAAAGCGTAGCCAGGTGGAGGTCAGTCTCTTCTCCCAGGCAACAAGTGACAGGAGACACAGCCTCATGCTGCAGCAGGGGTAGTCTAGGTTGGACACGAGGAAGAATTTCTTCACAGAAAGGGTGATGAGACATCGCATGGGGTGCTCAGAAAGGTGGTGGTCATGATCCCTGGAGGTGTCTAAGGAAAGCCTGGACATGGCATTTGATGCGATGGTCTAGTTGACAGGGTAGTGTTCGGTCGTATGTTGGACTCAATGACCTTAGAGGTCCTCTTCAACCTATATGATTCTGTGATAAAGTGGACTACGAGGAGGCGACCAGCCAAACGACTCAGAGCAGTCACTATGGGAGCCTCCATCTAAACAAAGGTGCCTTGGGCAACTTCACTTCACTTAACCCGAAGGTAGCTTAAGTTTTAGGACAGGGAAGCATCCGAGACCGATGTCCCAACACAACCGCCATACCAGGGGCATCCACAGCAGAACCGACGGGTTCCGGAGCGCTCGGCGGCGGCAGTGCCGACATCTCCCGTTAGCGGCCGAGGTGCCAGGAAACACACGGCACCACACGGCCGCATCACAGCGCCCAGACTGCTGCTACGCCTCGGGGCGGGGTCGAGGAGACCGACGATCGGGAAAGCGACCCGCGGCTCCGGCGGGCGGGACAGGGGGTTGTCCTCCACGCCCCCGCCCCGGCGGCTCGGCCCCGGCGGCTCGGCCCCCGCCGCCTTCCCGCCCTCGGCGGCCGGGCCGTGCGGGCGGCGGGAGCCCGCGGTGAGGCGCGGGCAGGGGCGGCCGTGCGCCCGGCCGGCACTACGAGCGGTTGCTAAGGAAATGGGGAGGGCGGCGGGAGGACGGGCATCAATCACACAAATTCAATTACAGGTATCGCGGCTGGCCGTGAAAAGCTTCGCGGGGCTTCAAAAGCCGGGGATTATCCGTGCCCCCGGGAGCTTCCCCAGGCGAGAACTGCGACGCGCAGACCGCGCCGGGAAGAGCTCGGTGAAAAGGAAGGGGGGCCGGGAGTGGCGGGGACAGGGACGCATACAAAGGGAAAAGATCGAAGCCTCCTCCCCGGGAATTAACCAGAAGCCGAGGCGTGAGGAGTAAAATTACTGCAGTGCGGGCCCGGGCGTGCGATGGGGCTGCCACCGTATGAACCCCCCCGCCAGCCGTGCCGAGGGGGCAGCTGTCAGTGCATCTACCGAAAAAGCAACACCCACCCCACCCCCCCACCCCCCCAAAAGGAAAAGTCAACAGGCTAGGAAAATGCATGGCTACACAGACAGTTAAACACGTACACACACGCACATTTTCTGTACACGCCTGCACACACAGAGTTAAAAACACTGGTGCTGAAGAAAATTGGAAGTCACCAGACGCACATCCCTCAAAAAAAAATCAGAAGGAAAAAGAAAAAAATCCGTCCTCCCTAGAGAGGCTGAAGGGAAGAGTCTGGTTGCTGTGGTGGAGCTGATCCTAAAGTTAACTTTCAGCAGCCCATTTCCAGACAGCAGCGCTGAATCTATTTGGATAAAACGCGTGTGACCCAGACACTTGGCGTTTGGCCCAAACGCGTTGCACCGGCAGCCCAAATAAAAACAAGAGTCTGACTCTTTCCCTCTCTCTCCCTTCTCTCTTGTACAACAATGAAAGTAGCGAAGACAAAATCCGCACACACATCGCCGGGGAGCGAGAGCCCACTTACCTCCTCCCACCAAACAAAGTCCCTTTGAACCCTGGGCGACTGCGGAGACAGACATACACCGACAAACACGAGTCCGCGGGGTTAAGAGTCTGGCAAATCCCAAGCGGCTCGAAGTAAATCAAAACCACACGCTTCCATCTTCCTGATGAGCCCAGCGAGAGCCCGACATCCCCGCCAGCATCGCTGCGGGACGGCGGCAGCGCCGACCCTCCAAGCCCCGGTACAAAGTGTGCACTTGTCTGACCGCGGCAGCGGACACCGCTGGACACGGCACGGCCGAGAGCGGGGCTTCCTCACCCCAGCAGCAATCCGGAATAGCCCTGGGTTGTCGCTGGGGCTTGGGGGCTGCTTTGGTTTTCATCTGTTGTTTGGTTTTGGTTTGGTTTTGTTTTTCCTTTTCTGCTTCAACCAACGACTTAGTATTCAAAGTATAACAAATCTTTTTAAAAATGCACTATTCGAGATGATACTTCATCAATCACCTCTCTTATCGGTTGAAAAAACCTCTCACCCCCTTCCCCCATCTCAAGGTTTCTCTCTGAAATTACTCCAAATGCACCTCGCCTAATGCAATATAAATCTCCCCCCGCTCCCCAAAGCCCTACACGCACCATTATTCGGGACACAAGAAAAGCAAAAAGTTTCATTGAATAGTGTGAAATCTTCCTTACCGTTTTCATCTTCAATTTCTGATATAAAGTAAGTTTCAAACAATAGAGATTGCACAGGACGATTCCCGTATTCCTTTCTGCTTTTCCCCTCTGTGCAAGCAACCATCAGGGTTATATTCTCCAACAGAATAAAATTCTCTAGCCTTCCTAAAGGGGTTTTTAGAAAACGGGTTGGCTTGGCAGGAGGAAGGATGCCATCAATTCACCCAAGCTATCACCCTGCACATTTTGTCTTTCCAACAAAAAAAGGGGGGGAGAGGAGGAAGGAGGGAAAAACAGGCTTATATTGGGGTGGGGGTGGGTGCCCTCCTCTTGAGCAGCCTCCTCTGTGCAAAATACCATGTGAATATCATCCGAGTTGGGGGGGGAGGGGGGACCGGGAGACAGAAAGGGGGGAAAGAGAGAGGGAGCAGAGGGGAGGCAGGCAGAGCAGGAAGGACTCAGGAAAGTTTGGTTGAAGTAGCCCCAGACCTCCTCCTCTGGCTGCCGGCGCCGGGCCAAGCCGAGCGCGGCGGCAGCGGGGGAGCCTTGGCAGCCTCGCCCGGGGGACGGCGCGGGGCCCGCTGACGTCAGCCTGCAGATGTGCCCCGGGCCGCCGCGCATGCGCGCCCGTCACGTGGCGGCGGGGGGGCAGGGGCGCAGCCGGGGGAGCAGGAGCGGGAGCCGGGGGGGGCTGTGGGACCCTCGCCCGGAGCCGCCTGAGGGGAGCCCGGCCTGGCCCGCCCGGGAGAGCCGCGGCCGCAGGCACGGCGTGCCGGCGGCAGGCGCCGGGCACGGGCGCTGCCGGCGGGTGGCGAGGTGGGGCGACCCCCCGCTGCCATCGCCCTGCTCGTCCCGCGCCCCGTTACGGGCGGTAATGAAAGGAAACCTCTTAAACACCATTTCCAGCGGAGGGCAGGCGGTGTCTGGAGCCCGCGCGGCCAGCGGCAGCCGGGCCAGCATCGCGCCGAGGCCGGGGGTCCCGGCCCTGTCCCCACAGCGCTTTCAGTTTTATTTGCGGTGGGGAGCCGAGCGGGGGTCGGGGCCGGGACCGGGGCATCGCCTCCCCCTCCGGCAGGGCAGGAAGGTGCGCATGGAGCGGCAGCTGGCGGCCTGCGAGTCGCCCCTGCTCCGGGAAGCCAGCGGTGCCGGCGACAGGGTCACACGGGGGGAGCGGGCCGGGACTCCCACTCGCCCCCTAACCACCAAGTTCATTTCCGATTGCCGAAAAGAGAGGAAAAAAAATCCTAAACCTAGGTTCTAAGGTTTCAAGCTTCTGCTAACTTTCCCAAATGGTGCGGGTGGCTGCTTTCCTCCCCAGCCGGAGGTAGTAGGTGTAATTGCACCTTCTGGTCAATCTCTAATATCTGGCTGGACTGTGAAACGATTGTGGAGAACGGTCCAAGAGCACAGCTACTCCAGGACTTCTCCGAGCATCGAAAGAGCAGGATCGGCCTGCAAAGTCAAACAGCCAGCAGGACTCTGATGGTCAGCAGAGACTGGCTTTGTGCCCTGTGAGATGGTGAAATCAGAGCCGTGGCTGACATTCATCGTTTCAAATAAATTCTACATAATTACATTTGAACATGAAGCCCTGCGATAGTTAAATTACATTTTATGTACAAGTATGTGAAATTTCTTTTAACTGCAGCTCTAACAAAATAAGCACAACGTCCTAGATAGTCACCTTTGTCGTCACTCATTCTGAAACAGCCCAGCGAACACTTACTTGAGAGATGTCGCCGGGCAAATTAATGTAACCATGGTTAGGGGAGTACTAAAATGTATCACTGCATTGAAAACCGGAGCTATAAAGTCAATGTTCCTTGGGAATAGGGGCACTCAGAAAGAAACGCTTTATTCTGGAAGTGCATCTCCAACCTGCTCCCCCCAGGTTAATTGCTCATACGGAGGGCGCCATCCTGCGTCGGCGAGCGGGGGGAGCGCCCGGGGCGTGCAGGGATGCTGGCGGCACTGGGACGCCCGGGGGGACAGTTCCGCCCCTCTTCCTCTTCATCCTGTACGTGCATGAGCAGTTGCCGCTTTAGCGGGTACGTCTGGGTTCGTCTACTTCATTACAGCAGCTATTTCTAACGCTGAGAGAAGTATTTTTTGTTAAAATTCCATAGTTCCTTCTCCTGCAGATCATTATATGCGATGTTCTCATGGAAAAGCCACCGGCCACGACCTGCTCGGATGCAGCCAGGTGTACCTGAGTCACATCACCTATCTCCATGGACAGACACTGTGACAGGTTCTGCTCAACCTTTTCTGCAAACTCAGTGGTACATACAGAGAACAGGGACAATCTATCCTATTGAAAGGACAGACTGTGAAGAGACTTTTTTTTACACATTCGGCATCAGAACCAAATAACCTTTTGAACAGACAGACACACATCACAGCCAATTGCCTCATGGCTATGGTATCCTCGGGGGATTTGGGAGACTTGCCTTCAAATCAGACCCTGACTGAATCAGACTCAGGAATGTTCACGTTGCTGTCTGACGGCTGAGCTGGGGACTATTCTGGTGTTAAAGACTGGCCTCTTCGTGGTTGGATCTGCTCCATTGTGTATAGCTGAATAAATACTCATCAAGCTAAAAAGAAAGACAGCTTATCGCTGTCTGGTTAGGGTCCTCACATGGATTCGACTCCCTGCTCTAAATCCAGCAAAGCAAAGATATATGGACTTTGCAAAACTCAGCTGCTTGCTCAGACCAACAAGTTATTTATTCCCTGTTCCAGACAACTACATTTTCTTGCCTAAGCCGACTGGTGTGTGTATATACCAGTCAAAACTGGTCTATTACCAGGAAAAGCTTTGGCTCATCTTTAAAAATTCCTGTCTGTGATTAGTTTCTGACAGAATTGCCATTACAGTTTGACTTACCTGTTCTGCTTTATTGTATAAAACAATATTTCAGAGTGAAAGTCATTCAGATAAAAATTATGAGCTCATTTGGTGACTTATTTTAGTCACCAAATATTGCCTTGCCCCAAATAATATCCATGTATGTACATTTTTATAAATTGCAACTTTTTAGAAAAGAAACTTGCACAGGAAGTAGTACACAGATTCTTAGTATAAATGTTTCTTTGCTGCAATTAGAATTTTTTCTTGAAGAGATAGTAATTTTACTCTGAATTCTAGTACTATGTATAAACCGTTTGGGCACCTGTGTCTCAGAAGCTCTGAGCAGAATTACAAACTTATTGAGCACAAAGGATATTACTCTATGTCTTAATCAGTTTCTTAGTGTTTGCTGATCATTAGCCCTTTAGTATGTTAGCCAACAATTTTTGAGATTGGGAAACACTCTCTTTTGTTTAAATAAATATTCATATTGAGCTTGAATTTAGAATTGTGAGATGTATTTAGAGGTATTTGGGGTTAATTCCAGAAATCTTTTTACTGAAATGACTATAGAAGTTAACAGTGTTTCTGTAATTTGAGCTTTTTGTTACCTGGACATTCGGATGTATATGCTTGATAATGTGTTTTTTTTGGTTTGGGGCTTTTTTCAGGTAGTTTTACCTGATCAGGAAAGATCTGAAGACTGTAGCTTATCTTATTTAGAAATATCCCAGCAGTGTTTGTGGAGAGAGTAAACCTTTTTAAGAATTATATATAAAATGATGTTATAAATTCCATAAATACTGTAAAATTTGAATGCTGTATATAATTAAAATACTTCAATTGACCATAGAGTTGAAAAAGTAGTAATGATAAACTTGCATTTATATGTGCTATACTTTCTGTGCTTGTAAGGAGAAAAGATTTGATGTGCATAAGGGCTTCATTTTTAGTCCCCTGAAATGAAAGATTCTGGAGGTACTTGAAGACGATGGTGCTATTGAGATCCAGTATCTTTCACTGACTTTTTCTTGTAAACAGTCTGAATTCAGACTGCTTACAAATCTCACCTTCCTGCAGGAGGAGATCTAAAGCATCTCTAGAAATGACCCCAGGCTATGTATGTTCAATTGTGCCTGCTACATTGCATTTCAGGAGGAGAATGCACATCAAAGTGCCCTTTCAGTTGGAAAATGCATCCCTTTTGCATTGAGCTGTTCTTGATGGCTAAAACAAAATTCACAGTGATGCATTTGGCTTCAAGTAGGGTTTTGAGGCTACTTCTGCCCAGCAATGCAATATTGCCAAGAATGTCTTCATTTAAATAAGAAGAGCTTTGCCAAAGGCAGGACCCCCACAAGCAGCACTGTGTGTTATGCTGATGTGGGGATTTTCCTCACACAAGCCCCCTTCTGTCTGCAAGACCCTGTGAACCTGGTCTACCCGATTATTTTAGTTTTAGATTTAGAAATAAAGCTGGAAAACTTGATGTCAGTTTGACAACCTCCGTAATGTCCAGGCCAGTTTCCTCCTCGGTGAACACAGATGAGACAGGGCAGAGAGATCAGAGAACATGAATGTAGTGAAAGTAACACCCAAAACTTGCTCAAAACGTGGGAGGGATCAACAGTGAGAAAGGTAGGATTAAGTATCTATTAAACCTGAGATGATCTTCAGAAGACTCATCAAATTGATCAGGGAAATCCTATAGCACAATAGATTGCCTCAAATTTTGCAGGCAAATAAGATGAAACAGATGCTATCCTCTTTAAGATTAACATAGCAAATAAAGAAAAAATATCCAATAAAGTTCCACACAAGAACAGGAACAATAGTAAACAGAAAAAAAAAAGATAAATCAGATGAAGGGGTTATTTTTTTTTCAGAGTTTTTTCTGCTTTGTCTATTTCCAGCTTTCCAAGTCAAGAGAGAGATACCAGAAAGAGTAGGTCAGTAGGCAGGTTTAAAGGGAGCACTTCACAGCTATATGTATTACAGTTTTTCTGTGTATTCTCATTTTGCTATTTTTCTGTTTCCAGAGAAAGTTGTTCATAAGATCTGAACAATCTGTAAGACTTAGAGAGTACAAAGCTGAGACAAATTATACAATATGTGGAAAATGTGTATGTGGAAAATATCTATGAAAAAAATTGGCAAATGGTATTCCTCAAAGATTAGTGTACACAGAAACATATAAAAGCTGTGCAGAAAATCTTAGGAAATACATAAGAATTCAGTTATTTTAGTTTTAGAATGAAAGATCTGGAATTAACTCAGAGGAGGACCTGGCTATTACTATGCGGAACGCTGCAACATTTTGCAGTCTGGCACTCAGCTCCAGGAATGACTCTCCTAGTGCAGAATTAGGCA